TGACGTCATTGGTGCCTTTTTCGTGTAAAGCACGGCGCAGGAATGGTGCGTGAGAGCAAGTCTCCCCATTCGACACCCACGTTCTGTGTCCGGAAGCCGAACGACAAGTGGCGTCTCGTTCACGCTTTTAATAAGCTAAACGCTGCCACCATTTCGAAACAGACCCTGATTCTTAAAAAAAGGATGTTCCCAAGAGCAATATGGTGGGCTGCACAAAGTACAGTGCACTCGACTCGGTCGATGGGTACTAACAAATGCCCATGAGAGCGAGTGATATTCCGCTGACAGCGCTGAGAATTCTGAGCGGCATGCTTTGGGAGTGGCTGGTGATCCCCTAAGGGCTGTCAAATGCACCAGCAACATTTAATTGTCTTGTGACGCAGTCGTTCAGACCCCACCGAGAGTATGCACAGACATACTTTCACAACATCTTCGTCCACTGTCGTGCGGAGCACGAGAGGACAGATGTCGAAATCGTCCATTTAAGAGAGTTGCTCGAGTGCATGCGCACGAATAAGCTGTATGCCAATACCGATAAGGTCACCTTCGGCGCGGAAGAAATTCCATTTTGCGGGTGCTTCAATGGGGAGTGTGGCCTTCGAGTGGATTCTGCTAAGGTCGACACCATTGTAAACTGGCCGGTTCCAAAAACCAAAAAGGACTTGCACAAGTGGCTTGGCCTCGCCAACTACTTGCACCAATATAGCGCGAATTATGCGGAAATGGCATGGCCATTGTCAAATTTCCTTAAGAAGGATGCGGAATGGTGTTGGAACACCGAGCATCGGGAGGCGTTTGACGGGGTCAAAGGCAGCCTCCTTCATGCAACAATACTGGCATTGCCATACCCCAATCGCTCTTTAAATTTCGTCTGTGACGCTTCGGACTTTGCTTTTGGCTGTGCACTGCTGCTAGCAGACGACGAGGAACGGGATAAGGTGATCGCGTTCAAGTCTCGCCAGCCTAAGGCTGCGAATATGAATTCCCCAGTCACGTCAAGAAATTTTTTGCGATGAAGTACGCACTTGTCAAGTTCAGGGTGAACCTATTCGGCTCGAAGCCGTTTGAAGTCGACACTGATCATGCGTTACTACGCACTGGGACTCAGTCGCCTCACCTCTCACAGAGGATGGCCAGGTGGCTCTTTTTCTTCGCAGAATATAACTTCGAGGTGAAGTAAAAGCCAGGAAAGCAAAATGCTTTGGCTGATGCGTTGTCACGCAGACCGGATTATGAGCTTGCTCATGGTGGTGTCATCAGTAACGGAGTTGGTCCGCGCCGCATACGCGGGTGATGGTATGTGTGTAGCGCTGCTACAGGCTCTTGGGAGCAGGGAGTTTGGAATCTCGGACAAGATGTTGTCAGCGCGATTGCGCGCACAATTACACCTATATTCGTTGATTAACGGGTTGCTGTATTATAACATCGATTTGACGGATACGCCTAGAAATGTGGTCCCTCACGATGAGGATTTCAAATACCGTATCCTCCATGAGGCCCACAACACCCCACTCAGTGACCAAGACGTACAGCTCTGTGAGTTGCCACTACTGGTGGTTCAAACTATCCAAATGGACGAGCACATATGTGCATACGTGTTAGAAATGTAAAAGGTGAAACCCTCTCCTAATGCGGCAGTACCGCTGGCCAGTTTACCGGTAACCTCTGGGTGTTGGCAGTCCATGAGTATGGAATTTGTGTTTGGCCTGCCGAAAGATTCAGCAGGCATCACGAGTGTCATGGTCTTTGTCGACCGTTGAGCAAGATAGCTCATCGTGCGGCGGTGCTGGACACCATCGACGGTGTGGATTCAGCAACATCGTCTCTTTCGACAACATGGACTCCCAGAGTCAATTGTCTTTGACAGAGACCCGGAAGTTTTGGTCGACAATCTTCAAAGTACTGGACACCAAGTTGACTATTTCAACAGCAGACCATCCCCGACCGATGGTCAAACATAGCGCGTGAATCGCGTCGTTGAAGACGTCCTTTGCAGCGTCTGCGCCGAGACGCCAAGCGCTAAAGCGCCATGCTGCCACTTGTAGAGCTCGCGCTGAATAATGTAGTGCATTCTTCTACCGGCTAGATGCCGCTTCACGTGATCGGGCTTATTAATCTTTGCGTCCCGCTGACGCCGCCATCCCATGGTTCACGGCTTGGTGGGGGGAGGAATAGACGAGTGGCTGGCTGATGTCAGCCCCCTCACTGTTCCAAAGAAGTCCATGACTTCCTGTCTACTAGACTGCGTGTCTTACGACACATTCGCGGTGTGACGGCTGAAAGCCAAGACCTGCAGAAACAACATGCAGATGAAAAAGGAAGAGGCAAAGTGGAAAGCTTCAAGGTCGGAGACCTGATTTTATTAAATTCAAAAACCCTGCCTACATTTGCAGCCTCTGATATCTTTCGGATGAAGCTTCGTCCGCGGTTTATCGGACGTTTGAGGTTGTGGCCAAACGGGGCCTGGCGTACATGTTGAGCCTTCCAAAACGGATGCGCACCCACCCGGTGTTTTACGTGGGCTTGCTCAAGCTGTACCGGGATCCGGTGCAAGTAAACGCGGAAGCGTTGGCGCCGGAGCGGATCCCACGGGCCCTCGGTCACCCAGAAACTGAACCAGCAACTGGTTCTGAGCACGGAGTGCAACAACATTCGTTTCCAATGGAGCCAAGCGCCCCACTGTTGCCTGCAGCGATGCATTTCGCCTGCTGCACGGCTAGGAGTCACTCTGACAGAGAGCGGTAGTCCTCAAGGCGAGGCAGCCGGCGCACGACGTGCTTGACATCGTCAAGAGCGTCCGCACAGCGATATGCTACTTCAGCATGACGCTCAGCGGAGCTC